GTACTCCAGGTAGGGGCGCAGCTGATTAATCAGCCGAAGCTGAAGGAAGGCATTCCTCGCTACCGCTGTCACCTGAGCTTCCAAAGAAAGCTCCGGGTCGAGGAGTACTCCTAAGCTGCGGACCTTATCCCTAAGAGGGAGTGTTGCACCATTCAGGACCAGGTCAAATCCACCCTCTCCGAAACCCGATCCGCCAACCAACAGGACCTCTGTCTTGTCTGGGTTGAGTTTCAGTTTATTGGCCCTCATCCATTCCCTTACCTCGGCCAAGCACTGGTTCAGCACCGCCACTGCCTCACCTGGATTAGTGGAGAACGAGAGGTAAAGCTGGGTATCATCAGCGTATTGATGATTCCGCAGCCCACACCTCCTGATGACCTCTCCCAGCGGTTTCATATAGATGTTAAATAGCAGAGGGGATAGAATGGAGCCCTGTGGTACCCCATGGCATAGCTGCCATGACGTAGAGACATGGTCCCCCAGCACTACCTTCTGGAATCGACCGTCGAGATAGGAGCGGAACCACTGCAAAGCAGTGCCTCCAACCCCCAATCCCGCAAGTCTATCCAGAAGGATACCATGGTCGATGGTATCGAAAGCCGCCGAGAGGTCCAGGAGAACCAACAGGGATGTACTCCCCCTGTCCTTCTCCCTGCACAGGTCGTTGTACAGGGCTGGAAACTCAGTGGTGTTTTTCCAAACTGTTGAGATGTATATGGGTCCATCAGTTGCAGCCAGTCCTCTGGCTGTGATCATTTGGACCAACAGGATTCTCTGCATAGTCATCAGAGACTGCTCTAATCTGGATGGCAATAGACCATGGGTAGCAGTGCCTACACAATCTCATGATGATGCCATAGATCCCAGTGCAGATCTGCGTTCCTCTGCCATCTGTTGGTGAACATGGGTGGAAAAGTGCTGGTTTGCTTGCGGGGTCCCCAGTGCAGCATCTGGGTGGCGACTGTGGGAACAGAATGCTGGACTTGGCTCAGCACTGTGCTTCTGACATAACTGCAGCTCATCATCCCCCACCTCTGTATGTTGGATCACAGCAATCACCCCCAGCTAACACCACAGCCAGTGGACGCACTGGCTGTGATGTCAGCAGTAGCCAAACACATGCCAGATAGACTTTTGATCAAATTTTGTAGAACTCTTCTTATGTCCTTATCCAGAACAAGTTGAACACTGCTATGTAGGCCAATTTAATCACCTGCCATCTGTCTCTCTCCCTTATTAGGCTGAGTTTCTGAGCCCCTTATACAAAACTTTGGTGTGACTGCACTTAGGAGATTCTGTATAGTTCTGTTCACTATCCCTGAGAAAAGGACATTAGTGAGCTGGGAAAAGTGCAGAAAAGGACAGTTAAAATGACTGAGCAGTTGGAGCAACTCCCCTATGAGAAATGCTCACAACAACTGGGATTATTTATTTTAGGGAAAAAAGTCAAGTAAGGGGAGACATGATAAAATGTTTAAAATTTTGCATGGTGTGGAGAAGGAGAGATCTTTCTTTCTCTTCCATAAGACTAGACCGTGGGGTCATCCCATGAAGTTGTTTGGTGGGAGGTTCAGGATAGATAAAAGGATTCTTCACAGAGGAGATAGTTAAACTGTAGGATTCACAGAGAAAAGAATGGATACAATAAACTAAAACATGACAATTTCTGGATAAGATTTAGAAAGATACTTAGCATTAATTTCATATATATTCTATATCTCTATGTATTAATTTATAACAGAACATAATATTGTAACTAAAACTAATTATATGTAAACATCTACAAAGGCGGCACAAATATCCATGTATTTATCCATTTTAGATTACACCTAAAGACCACCCATTCAAAAATTGAAAGATTCATCAAATCCCCTACCTACTGTAATATTGCAGATGGCCATTTATCCTTCTGGTGTCATAGTATTCATCTTTTAGCTGTCAGAAAGGCACAGAAAATCCATTTGAGTTGACCTTGTGTTAAATTCACAGAGGCAGATAATTCAGCCAGACATGTGCATCATTCAATACTAAAGACCTACCCATCATAAGATTTATCCAAAGTATTAGCTCCTCCTAAAAGGAAGCTGGTTCCAGGCCGAGGCTTCTGGAAAATTTGTAACCTAGAAAATCCAGGTCATCAAAGACTATCAGGATTGAATTCCTGCCATCACTGCACCTTGCGTCCAGAGGAAAGATTATAGGTGGGGCTTCTTCGGGGTCCAAGGGTATTTAGGGGAGGTTTCACAACTGCCTCCTCCTGGATGGTGACTTCCAGCCAGGCATCTGTCTCTTCCTAGATGTCATGAATCAGTGGAACAGCAGTGGCAGCACTTCCTCCCCAACCTTCTCATCATTGTATTTTTCAACTGGGAAAAATCTGCATGTGTTGAATCTTTTCCTGTTTTAGTTGGGGATTTTTTAGCTGTGTTACAGAGTTCACCGGATTTCAACTTCAGAAGACAAACATTTAGGCAGATGCATTATCTGCATTCTTTGAAGTAGGAGCTTCAGAGCATGAGGGAGCTGTGGGCAGCTGCAACATGATCTAAGAATGCGATGCTATGTATAGGATTACTCAGGAGTAAGCCCTACACAGCTCGATTCCAAAGTGATGTGGTAGTTAGATTGCTGACCTTGCCACCTGTGAGTTCTGGGTTCTAGTCCTCACTGGCCAATTTTTGGCCATTCACTCACTCTCAGCCTAAGCTACTTCACAGGGTTGTTGCTGTGAGGATGTAAGTGTGAAGTGAAAAAGGACTATGTAAGCCACCTTTGGTTCCTCACAGGAGGAGAAAGGGTGGGATATAATCTCTTGGCAGTTGTGCATTTTGTCTGCAACATGTTTTTTGCTTTTTCACTTTCAAAGCATTCTGTGATTCCATAGAATTCCATGCACGCCCTTTCTGGATCTGAAAATAACCATTATACACTGCCAACTTATTTTGCGTACATGTCTAAATATGCATCCTGCATTTAGAAGACCTTCTTTTGGGAGATGTGTTTGTGACCTTTTAATGTGCACTGACATTTTGGGGTTGCTTTTATGTGTTTGCAGGTATTTTTCACAATGCCTGGAATCAACCTTCGGGGCTGATGAAGTGCCACATGTTTTCCTTTGCCACCCATGTGCCACATCATGCAACGTCAACATTGGCTAGCTCTGAACAGTCACAGAATGCACTTGCGCATAGCAAGGATGTATTGTTCTCCGGCCTCCAAGAGGCCGCCTGAAGCAACTACAGCAGCAGAAATGGCTACAAATGTTCTTCACCGCCTGTCAGAAGCTGGCAAGGTTTTGGGAAGAAACTCCCTTCAGAAAACCTCTGCAGTGGCCCGAAGCTGGTGGGACAAATATGAGGAATTTGTTGGACTCAATGAAGTTCGAGAGGCCCAGGGAAATGTGACGGAAGTAAGGATGGGGCAGCTGGTACATTTGGGTAAAATGTAGCTGAAGACTGTCTTCCGCCATGCAGCCTGCCTGCTTATTAAGAGAGCTCTCTTGCATGTTCCAAAGACCCCCAAGTATGTCTTACTGGGACCAAGGAGAGGGCCTTTTTCGTAGTTGCACACCCAGGCATTGGAATTATCTCCCAAGAGAATCCTGCTTCAGTCTCTCTTTAGTAGCCTTTTGCGTAAAACCCTTTTAAGAAGGCGTTTGGCTGGGGTCTCCAACCTTTTTGAGTCAGTGAGCATGTTTGGAATTCTGAGAGATTATCGTGGATGCTCTCACAATATGGCTGCCCTAGCAGGGCCTGCCCATTTGTAAAATGGCTGCCATCACAGACCTGGACACTTTTTCCCACAAACCAGACAGGTGAAACTAAAAGAAAGATTGTACTCTGTAAGGTTAACTACAAGCAAGAGGTACAGCCGATCTCAAAAAACATAAAATCTCTTTTGAGCACAAATAGAGATGGTGCTGGAGGGCAGTGTTTCACTTTGTAACAAGACAGACTCCCAGTTACTTTAAAAAAATATACAAAATCAAATACAAATCAGGAGAAGCATGGAGCCAGGCTGGCACTGAGAAAACCTGTGGGCACCATGAAGGAGACCCCAGGATTAAATGTTTTAATTCTGTTGGAAGCAGATTTAATTATTTTGTGCAATGCTTTTTGATTCCTGTTTTAAATGTCGTCCCTTTTAATTTTTGTAGGGGTGATTTTTAGGTTTTTAATTTGATTTTTGTTTTAATTGGATGCCATTTAAAGAAAAGTCACAGGAAAGACGGGGCAACATGTTTTAAATATATATATCAAAACATGCCTTCTTTTCTTAATTTTTGTCCCATGGTCCTCTTTCTTTCTCAGACTTAAAGTGTGCTATACCTGCTGTTAACACAAACACTCCAACTTTAGTGGGATTATATTGTCAGATGCATTAATAGTAAACTCTTCTTTTCACACCTGTCATGTTTCAGGCTGAAAAAAGGTTTATGGTCGCTCGAGGCGTAGTACGGGAGGCACGTGAAAACTGGGAGGCCCAGCAGCTGAAACTGAAGGAGATTCGGGACCGTCTGGACCGAGTCTCACGTGATGATGTTCAGTACCTGGAACTAGCAACATTGGAGCACAAGCTACTCCAGGTAAGAATAGCTCAGGAGTGGTACAACCCTGCTTTTGAACTGCATTTATTTTGTTAGAGGCAACTTTTGCTTCATGTTTGGCAAATGGAACTACAAATTTTAAAAAACCGCAATAATTACCCCAAGGTTGTGAATTGTTATTTTTAATAAGAACTTGTGCCAATTCCTTCCATAATGGGGCTGTCCTGAAAAGGACTTAAAGCCTTTGGTTGGTCAGCAGTACATTCTCAGTGGGCACGCTAGAAGATTGATCTGCGGACAGCTCAGAACAGCTCACAGCACACCCAACAGACGATCAAGCTCATTGTAAGTTGCTCCCCATTTCTTTTCCTCCCTTTCTTCCTTGATTCTCCTGCCTGCATCCCAGAAGACTCGGTGGCATCACTGACTCAGCTGCTCCCCCTGCTGTGCTTGGAGCCTTCTGATGATCCTCCCTTGCTGTAGCACTTAACCTTTTCTGCTGGGGTTGTCATCTCCAGTTCCTGGCATCTCGCCAATGAAACTGCTTTTTAAGGGATATTTTCAAAAACTCTAGAAAAAAATAAGAGAGTGAAAACTAAATTAATTGTAAGTTAGTTTTGGATCTTTGAAATGTCATTCAATGTTAAACTCTTAATTACAAGGGGAGGGAAGGTTCCTTTCCAACCTTATATAATCACAGCAAGAATTCCAATGGAACCTAAATAGATTTTATGCAGAGTTTTTGATTTTAGTAAAGTAGCCGAGGATGCCACCCACTCTTGTGTTTCTGTGTATTGTACCTCATCCCCCTCACCTCTGCAAAGCCTCAGGGAAGGCATCTCTCTGTTCCTGTCTGCTTGGTTTTTCCTGTAACAAGCATCAATTTATCTGTGGGCAATCTCAAAACTGAGGAGTGTCTTTGGAATATAAAGCATATGGCATACCAATATTTAATAGAATAAAATACGGCATTCCAGTATTTAATAGGATAAAGAGATGAATTTTTTTGGAAAAAAATATGTGGCTTTATTCCAAGGAATAGCACAGCTTCTTGGAATAAAACCACCTATGTTTTAATATACCAAGACTTAATTTATTCAATTGAACATTTTGGGCGTTCTCCAGTTTTGTTTGATCCAATGCTGCTAGTTAATGTCATTCTGATATTTGCATCTGAAACTTGAATGTCTTCCTCATGAAGAGTTATGGCAGAATCTCCAGATATTGATCTAAACCATTTTTAAAAGCCATCTAAGGCAGTAATTGTTGCCACATCTTTTAGTGATAAATCGCCTTAAGTTGTTGTTGTTGTTAATTACATTTCTGTACCACCCATAACTGAACCTCTCTGGGCGGTTCAGAACATTAAATCACCCATCCAGATTTCAACAAGTTTCCAAGATAAGGCAGGTTCAGGCATTTCAAACTGTACAGAAGCTCTTAATCATTCACTGTGTGGAGAATTCCTTCCTTCTGTCTGTCCTGCATATATCACTTAATGTATTTGTTATGTTTGTATCTTGCCTTTTCCTCCAGAAAACACCTAAGTCATGATCACCTCACTATTATATGCGCACAACAACCCTGTGAGGTAGGTTAGGCTAGGAGACAGTGACTGGCCAAAAATCACCCAATGAGCTTCATGGCTGAGTGAGGACAAGAACCGCAATTCCCCGTGTCCCAACATTCCAACCACTACAGTCCAACATTCTAACCACTACATCACAATATCTCTTAATCTGCCAGGTTGTCCCTGTCAGCTTGCTGGTTGATGCTTTCAAAGAGTCTTAAAAGGCTGCTGAGGCAGGACTGCTCTTTGCAAAAAGAGCCCTGCTGGATCAGGTCAATGGCCTATCTAGTATCTAGTTTCCTGTGCCACTGCATGGCCGTAAAGATGCATAGGAATTTCATTTTTGCTCAGGAAACATGTGAGCATGCCTTCTGTGAATCTCTGAATGTAACTTTGAGTGCAAGCATGCATCTGTTGAAATTATTTGTAAATTGTTGAAGATGTGCTTGCATTTTTCATGTTCCTGATTTCCACTTCAGTTTGTGCAAATGCCCTCCACAGACTAAATCAGCCCTACCTGAGAGCCAGTGTGGTGTAGTGGTTAAGAGCATGGGACTGGGACTCAGATGATCTGGGTTCTAGTCCCCGCTCAGCCGTGGAGCCAACTGGGTGACTTTGGGCCAGTCACAGACTCTCAGCCCAACCTACCTCACAGAGTTGTTGTGGGGATAAGATGGAGGAGGAGATGTAAGCTGCCTTGAACCATTTGTAGGAAAAAGGCAGGAGATAGATAGATAGATAGATAGATAGGAAGAAATAAAAATACCTTAGTGCAAAGAGGAAGGTCATGTGAATTAGGAAAACTTGCACAGATCTCTTGTTCATTTCATTGCTCAAGACCACAAATAGGAATGAGCACAAGCTGAACTGGAGCTGGTCTTTTCAGCCTTGAGAGGAGAAGACTCTGATGGGACCTATTAGCAACATACAGGTACATGAGGGGGTGCCACCCAGAAGTGGGTCATGACGTTTTTTCCCCTGCAGTGGAAGGCAGGACGCATTCCAATAGAGCAAAGCTTAGGGAGGGAACCAAGGTTTAGGAAGTCCTTCCTGATGGTTAGGAGCTTGAGGGTATGGAATGAGCTTCCACAGGAGGTGGTTGAGGCCCCAACAGTGAGGGTCTTCAAGGATAGACTTGGTATGCACATGGTGGGCATGTCATGAGTGGAGCCAGCTGGAGCTGGGGGTGAGACTAGATGGCCCAGGAGGCCCCTTCTGACTCTTTGTTTCTATTTGGAGAATTCTGTTTATCTCGAGTCTTGCTCATTTGCCCATTCTGAGGTGGCCTCAGCTCTCTCTCACCATTGTTCCTTAGCTGTTTCTCTGATGCTGGAGGTAACATGCAGCCTGCAGGACTAGTAGCTGTTGATAGTCTTTCCCTTGTGAATTTCCCTTACTCTCTTTTAAAGCCACCTCAAATGGGGCCATTCCCATTTCTCGTGGCAGTGATTCTATAGATCGCAGTAAGGAAGTACCGGGTAAGTCCAATTCAACACCCCTGCCTGGAAAAAAACCTGTTCTGGCAGAGGTTCCACCATGAAGACCAGCACAGACCAGTTTGTGAGCCGCCCCGAGGCTTCGGTGAATGGGGCAGCATAGAAGTTTCCTAAATAAATAAATAAGAATTCATTACATTTCTCCACAATTTTCCTTTCTCCTTTTAGCAAATTCTTAGTCATCTGTCCACCTCTTCTGATCTATTTAAAGTTGTTATTCTTTATCTTAATATTTTTAGTAATATGCTCTTCAAATTGTCATCATTATTTTTTCTGATTCCAGCATAGTGCCTTCTGCCAACTTGCCATTCCTCCCAAATAGAATTTTTCTTTTGGAAAAACATTTCAGTGGGCCTGACATTCCTAAAGTATGTTTGTTTTAGTTTTGTTGATGCTGGGGTGAGGGTGGGGGGTGCACAGAGAAGGGACTTGAACAAAATCTTTTCATCCATTTATGCCCTGCAGCAGGGCAGAAGAATATAAGACTGTTACCTTTTCTTTCTTCTTTTATGAACTCACGATTCCAGGATGAGCTGCTCTTTACATGTTATTTGATGACTCGCCAGGACTTGTTATACAGGTTGGGTTACATAACAGCTTTCTCTATAAATATATGCATACCATAAGTATGATCAGAAATTTAATCTCTCTGTCTCTCTGTCTCTCTCTCTCTCTGAAAAGGCATGAGCTGTGTGCATGTCTTTTCCTCTTTCTGGAAATTTTTCCTACTTAACCTAAGAGCAGCCCTGTGGGAACAGTCCAACCATTGGACTGTCTAGTCTAGCATGTTTACACCGTTCAGACATATGCTTCTGGGAAAGCCCATAAGCTGGGTGCGTAGGCCACCTTGGCCTGCCCAGCAGCCAGTGTTCAGAGCTATACTGTTTCTGAAGGTGGAGTTTCCATTTTGCCATCCGGTGAAGGCCTGTGGCTGGCTGCAGGGGGCCTTTCTTTTGTCTAAACATGCCTGGAGTTGCATCCTCATTGACCTAGCCTCAATGAGAGCCAGTGGGGTGGGGAGATTAGAGGGTTGAACTGGGGAGCTGGGAGGTCCAGGTTCTAGTACTGGGTGACTTTGAGCTAGTCACTGACTCTCAGCCTAACATACCTCACAGGCTTGTTGTGAGGATACAGTGGAGAAGGGAACCTTGCAAGCCACCCTGTGTTCCTTGCCAGAAGAGAAAAGGCAGGGTACAAATCTAATATGATGATGATGTATAATGCTGTTGTTTTAGAATATATTATTCTTTTCTGCCACATGATGTTGCTGCTTCCTGAGTAAATGTGTTTAACATCATGGCAGTAGATGCAAATCCTGTTTTTATTCCTGCAGTCACTGGTACCTTGGCTCATGAACTTAATCCATTCCACGACTCTGGTTGCGACCCAAATTGGTCATGAGCCAAGTCAAATTTCCCCATAAGGTCCAATGTAAATAAGGTTAATCTGTTCTGTAACCATTTTTTTATCACAAAAATTTGAAACAAAGTGACGAAGAACAACAAAGTAACAAAGAACAACAAAGATTGTGGCCATCTCCCCCCTCCCCCAAGCACAATCACAATTGTGCTATCTTCCCTGCACAAACGCGACCATGATCGTGTCCATCTCCGCGCCCCCAGCACGACCGCGATTGTGCCCGTGCAGGGAAGATGGGTGCGACCGTGGTCGTCACCCGATGCAGAGTTTGCGACCCGAGGCAAATTTTTTCTGAAATTTCTGTTCGCAACCCGATTTGGTCGTGAACTGAGGTATTCGTGAGCTGAGGTACCACTGTATTCATGTGAAGATACTCTAACATATCAGGAAGTAGAAGCAGTTGCAGAGCATGAAATGATGGGCTATATGTGCAGGGGAAGAGAATAAATCATGCAACAGAAATAATCAGACAATTAAGTCCAGGGTCTAAAAACATCTAGGTGCACCACTTTGTATTGTTTAATTAATTTCTGTATATCCCATGGCTGAAGCTCTCTGACTGGGAGAAGACCCACATGCTTGTCTTCAGGGTTTCTTTACCCCACAGTTTCCCCCAATAGATTTAGTTGTATCTGCTCGAAAGAGGCTCAGGCATTGGCTTCATGTGACTTTGCTGTTGTGCCCCTGACACTTTCATTGCCCAACCTCCCAAGCCACATTTTGCAGTGTGACCCAATTATGTGAGGCCAAGAACCGCCAGCACAGTCTCTGCAGCATGGCCTTCTCCAGAATGAATTACAAGTCCCATCATCCCTCAGCCAGCAGGATTGGGGCAGGCTGTACTAGGCTAGGGGCCTAAAAGATACTGGCCCTGCAGCTGCTGCAAGAGGAATCCCTGGAGAAGCTGCAAGTCCTTGCCCAGCCGGGGTCATCGCCTGCGCAGCTTCCATGCTGCTTGTATTCATGGCAGAGCTGCTCCTTCTCTTCGTTTCCCCCGATGTATTTCGTGTTGGGTTAAAAAAGCACACAGGGCTGCACTGCACTCCCATGGGAGAGAGTGGTCGTGAGAAAAGAGAGAGGAGCCGTGAGCCCCGTCGTCCGGCTGACGTTTCCCTCCCGGCAGGCAGATGGAGTTCAGCCCAGGCAGCCCGGACGCATTTGCCCAGCTTTCTGGACAGCCCGTGGAAGTCGCAACACGTTTGTAATGCAGGAAGAGGGGCTTAGGGGTACTTGCTGCCACTGCCAAAAGCAACTGCTGCTATCATGCGCTAAGCCCGAGATGGGAAATCCATGGCCTCTGGACCACATCTCTCTCTCCCTTCCAAAATTTGGCTGCATAGGAGCAAACAGGGAGGAGCGGGGGGCGGGGAACTTGCTCTTTCCAAGAGTTGTGGTTCATTGGCAAAATGTGGCACTCCAGCAGCAAAAGGCAGGGGGCAGGGTTGACTTTTTAAAGGAGAAAATCCAGCCTGGTTTTGCTGATGCACCAGAGAATGTTGCTGGCAAATGCCATGGCGGGGTAGGGGAGTGGGGCCCCCAGGGTTGGAGGGCATAATCCATTCTCATGTCTGCAGGAAGCTGCCTGCCCCCGGACTGCACACAGCATGGAACAAGCAGTGCTACCTGTTCAAATGCTTTGACATTCCTGGCTGGGCAGCCCCAGACTGGTGCCCTCCAGATGCTTTGGACGAACCTAGAGGCATGGCTTATGGTCAGGAGAGATGGGAGTTTGAGTTGGAAACATGAGGAAGCCTTGCCCTGGGTGGGCGCTGGCGTTTGTAGCCAGGGCATCCTTCTGCACCGGATTTATGGCATCCTTGGGCCCGATCCCTGAAGATGTGCTATGGCTATGGGGGAGAGACTTCTCAGCTGCTCTGTTGTAGCTGCTGTTGTTAAATTTCCTGGATGCCTTTCTCAGAAAAAGACTCAGTGCATCTTCCGGCAGGGATTAAAACATACCCAAACAATTAGGATAATTCAAAACTGCTAAAAACAATTAGCTATAAAGTACCAGCTGCAGCAGCAGAAGAAACAGAATGGAAAGAATTGTTGTGTGAGATCAGGATGGAAGAGATAACTGGAGACCCACTTCCTATCAGGACTTTCCAGGTGGTACCTTTCTTAGGTCTGAGATACAGGAGGTTGTGTATGCTCCAGCCCCTCCAGAACGTGTTTCAAGAACCAGTGTTGGCGGCCAGATCAATTAGAAAACATGCCCTCCCTCGCCTCTGGTTGGCAGACAACACGCTTCAGAAAAAGGGAAACACTGGAAGGAGTTGCTTATCCTGGGACTATTTTGATGTGGACGGGGTTTAGGCAAGCCTCGTCTTGGAACTGCTGCCTCATTATGTGCTAAAACGTTTTGATGCCTCATAAAGGTCTCTTCTAAAACTTCATGCTGCAAACGAAAAGTTGGTCAAACCTCTGTGATGAGTCAGTCAGCTGGCATAAATGACCAAGAGTCTGCAAAGCTCTTCAGAGTGTGAACACCCTAGTCCTTGTGAGTCATGCGCACGAGGCAAATCCTTGTACAGAGAAGCATAACCTGTACCTCTGAAGTCGCTCGTACTGTTTCAGAGGAAAGAATATTTGCAATCAGAAGCAGTAATCGCTGATAAGAAATAAATCCCATTGAAATCTGTGACATTCACTCTTGATCAAACATGTGTAGGGACAAGCTGTAAGTTTCTCCCTGTTAGCAGGGTATCCAAGTCTTGCTGAGATTATGCAGACCTGGCTCCAGACCAAAGACATGGGTGGATAGATGGGTGAGTTTAATAGGGTAATGGCTCAGTTCCTCCCTTTTTACAAGGTAGAGTAATGACTCTTAACTATGGTACCAGTAATGATGAGAATATTTCCAGTTACTTAATATTTATTTATTTATTTATTTTATTTTAAACATTTTTATGCCACCCCCATCGCAACAAAGCCTCGGGGTGGCTCACAGCAAGAACAAAATTATACAATAAAAATATTAAAACCCGGTGCATCTCGGCTTAAAAAAATTTAAAATCCTACAAATAACCAATAAATTAACACTTAAAATAAATTTTAAATAAAAAGGTCTTAGCCTGGCGCTGAAAAACAAATAACGACGGCGCCAGGCGGACCTCTCTGGGGAGCGCATTCCATAGGTGGGGCATGCTTGGTTATGTGGATGGGTAGGAGATGGGTAGGAGATTGTAAAAACACCCCAAAAAAGAAAACTCTCAAAAGAGGAAAGACAACATCTTTTAACATGCTTGCACCAACAGGATTTGAGAATTAGGGGATAAGGCAGAGTACAAGTGGTATCTCTTATCTTCCCAATCTCTGGGATGACCAAGATTTCATATCCCCAAATTTCATTAGGTGAAGGTCTCATTAGACTATTTGTTGCCCAGCTGAAAAGATTAAGCCATCTTCCTCTTATGTGGTCGGCTTTCGGAGGTAGGGGGTGGGGGGCGACCCAGGAAGGTTTCTCGCAGGTGTCCCTCTAGACTGGCGCACCTGGATTGGGTGGTGATGGCAAGTACATGGAGGGTGAGGCTATCAATGGCCCTGGGGCTGGGTGGCTGTCGCCTCTTCTGCCGGAGCCATTCCACCCCTGGCACCGCTTGCTGGGGAACACACACGAAAAGGTACCATTGTGTCCACTGCCTGCTGCTGGACTTTCCGTCTGGTTGGCCACTCTGGGAACAGGATGCAGAACTACATACGTGGGCCCTTGACCAGGTTCATAAAGTTCTCCTTATGTTCGTCTGGGAAGGAACATTTGCTACCAAAAGCAAGAGAGGAGGAGAAGGACCATCAGTCCTTCTAGCCTAGTTTACAGTGCCAGGCTGGACCAAGACATTTTGCAGCCAGAGGCAAAGAAGAAGATGACACTCTTCTTTCCATGCAGGGAAGCCAACAGGAATCACAGTTACATTTTCCTTCAGCTGTGGAAATGGGGTAGCATCCTCGGCCTTATCTGAGAGCAACAGGCTGCTGAAGGGATGCTGGATAGACCATGTCACACACACAGCTCTGCCTCCCAAAAGGAAGGGTTTTCCAGGGGGCTCTGGAGGAAGGAATGAGGATTCGCTGCTACTGCTGTCCAGAATCTGCTACCTGAAATAGCCTCAGTCTGTGTCACAGGATGGCCAGTCCTGTCACTCTGACTGGCAGCCCTTTTCCAATGGGGCAGGTTGAAGCAGCCTTGCCCTGAAATCCTTTGAAAGGGGGTGTTGGGAACTGAACTTGGTACTTGCTGTGTGTGTCTCAGAATTGCCTACCATGAGGTTAGATTTGTGTGTTGAACACTTCCTGCAAGAGTCCTGTTGGTTTAATCTGGTTCCTGTTGGTTTAATCATTCATGCATGTATCTCTTGCCCTCTTCTAGTCCTTTTCACAATTGTTTTCTTTTATAAACCTGTGCCATAACAACCGAACATCGTCCTGCTTTTATTTTTTTGCTCCCTCCAAGCACTTGAAATTCAACAGATGCCTGTTGGTTAGTGCCAGATGTCATACGCCCAGCAGAATTGGCGTAGGCTAGCATCATGCATCTATACATGAGCACACTGAGGACATACATCGACAGCAGATCTTTGGCCATTTCAGCTAGGCTCGCCAACTAATTAGGAAAAGCACAAGCAGAAGCAGTGGCCCTGCTCTGCACCTTTGACAGCAGCCTGAGCTGCAGAAAGTGACAAGCTGTTCATGGCAAAGAGGTAAGATCCTCATCCGCTCATGTCTGCACATCAACACATCCGTGGCACAAGAAGGGGATGGTGGACAGTTTGCAATCCTGATAGCATCTCATCCCTGTGCATGGCAAAGGGAAAGAAGACAAGCTGGGCTACCCCATCTCCTCTGCTTTGATTCTCCTTCGCTGTCACCTCGCTAGCATCCACTCCATCAGGCTACCTGAACTGTCCTGGTAAGACTTGTAATTGAAGAAGTGGTACCTGAGCTTCTGGGTTCTCTTCTCTTCCCTCCCCTCTCCTGTGTGTGTCATTTTTTTAGCATGTAAGCCTGAGGCAAGGGCTGTCTTGAGAGCCTTTTTGCCCAAACCATGAGGGTACAATGTTGTTGTTGTTCTGTGGTGGTGAAGATTGGAAACATCCAAGTTTCTTGTACCTTTTTAAGTCCTCTTGGTTTTCTTGCAGGAGGAGAAGAGGCACCGAATGGCCTATCTGACTGCTGAGGAATCTGAGCGGGAAACTTTCTCTCTCTTCTCAGCTGCTGTGAGGGAAAGCCACGAAAAAGAGCGAACACGAGCCGAGAAGACCAAGAACTGGTCCATTATTGGCTCAGTGCTGGGGGCCATTATTGGAGTCCTGGGCTCCACGTATATCAACCGCGTTAGGTTGCAGGAGTTAAAAGCCTTAATTTTTGAAGCGCAGAAGGGACCAACAAGCCTTCAGGAAGCCATCAGAGAGCAGGCTTCCACCTATAACTCCCAGCAGAGGGACCTGAGCGACCTTATTGCCAACCTGAAGAACATCCTCCAGTTTGTGACTGTGAACTCTCCAGAAGTAGAAGGGGTTTCCACAGCCAAAGGCAACATGAACGCCTCCCTAAAAATAGACCCCCTCTTAGTTTCAGTTAAGGAGCAGCTGAGCTACTCTAAACAAATAAGCTCATTCCTTGGAAGCTTGCAGCAGCAGCTCAGCAATCTGGAAAAAAGTTTAGGGGAAGTGGCCACTGAGGTCCAGAACGTGAAGAGCTTGCCTCATCCCGCACCCAGGGAGAAGCTGCTGCATGGCTCTCCCGCAGAGGGGAGCAGCCGGGCGTTTGAGACGGAGGATGTGGTCCTAGAACTGTGCAACACGGAAAGGAGACTGGAAGCGCAAATGAAGAGGGCCTCGATCTACAGCACAGCGTTCACCTGCACCTTGTTTGCGGTCACACTTCCTGTGCTCTATGCGCTGCTCAGGGGTAATTAGCCGACAGCTTGGTGGGACATAACTTCCTAGAAAAGTCAAATGACATTCCTTGAGCATGGAGGACTCTCCATCTCAGATTCAAAGGCATTTTTGTGAAATCACAGCAGTGGTTGAAGGTGTGTGCAAATGTATCACCGTAAAAGTAAATTCTATGTGTCCTCCAGAGCCATTTGTGGAATTTGACCCTTCCCAGGTTCCTTTGTGGGCCTGTACTTTTTTCATCTAATTGGCTCAGAACCAGGCCAGTCCACATCTATCCAATGAGAAAAGTTACACTAGATCACCCAGAGTTCCCCCTGCCCCGGCCTGGCACCTCCCACTCCACATTCCCCAGTTCATCACACCTGGAAGATGCCAGGTTGGGAGAAGCTGAGCTACAATTGGTAGTCAGATCTTAAGCTCTATTCAGGTCTTTCATACCTGAAAATCAGCATTCTGGCTTGTATGAAGGATCACCACACAAGCACAAGTTCTCCATTTCAGGCAGTTGCCAGAAGGCAATAGGTGGGATGGAGTAGCAGAGATGACACACTTTCTGTTTGTCCTGAATGGGGCTTTACTGTCTCACCATATTTATCAAATTGTGATGTGGGTGCTTCTGAAAATTAAACATACCAGCTATTAACTTGTGGCATTCTGGGGATGAGGATGAGAGAGATGCTGATAGTAAAGGGAGACAACGCAAAGATTTTAAACTATCAGAAACACAAAGGCTGTTGGGAGCCACAGACTGTTTTCCTTGCCAAGTGTTCTTTATTGACCAAAAAGCACAAAACACCGAGAATGACTCTCTGAGCATGCACAGAGCAGTTTGTTGAACTCGATCTAGTAATCCCCTCCAGGAACTCTCCTGATGGGGCCTTCAGACAGCGAACCTGCCTCCTCTCCATGCGCCACTCCTCTGATCGGGCCACCACCCTCTGCTGACGCCGTGTCAAGGGGCCAAGAGCTGGGGCCGCCTCACTCGAGTCTCAGAGACTCCCTTGCTCCGGGTCCCTTCCCGCCACCTGGTTATTCCCAGGGATTGGCTGCCCACCTGGGGAGTCTGGCCTCGGGAGAAGGGTCTCTGCTTCTCGCACCTTT